CAGCTTCAGTTGATTTTATTAATGGTTTAACTTTTCCAAACTTCTATGATTAGTTATGAATACTACTATTTAAATCCTTGATTGGAATTGGAAGTATTCAGTGCATCATCTTGCTGGCCATTATAAGGACCTGTTAACACATTTGTTAATTTCCTTCTTAGTTTAATCATTTGTGGCAGAAACGCTATTTTTTCAGGGTTTCTTTTTCAAGTTTTATACCTTAATTTGTCCTAACTAATGTACTAGTGAGTTGAGCACTTTGACTTAAGTAATTGACAGAGTTTTATTGTTGTTTTAATCTATACTATATATTAAAGTAGAGTTTTCAATCGACATGGATCGCTCAATTAGATAGTTCATAACCTTCTTTGTCACATGTCAAGTTCAAAGTATTTTTTTCGATACATGTCAACGCCAGAGACCCTCTTTCATTAAAGTGTTAAATTTTTTGTAAATTGATTATTTTAATTTACTTTTCACCCATTCATTTCAACCATCTTTATTAACTTTCATATATATATATATATTTGATTATCTGCTTAATAATAACGAAAAACTAATCTTTTCCATTGTCAATTATTTTTAACTTTTTTATTAGTTGCTAAGAATGATTTTCTACATATTTTTTTTAAGCAGAGTTCACTGTGATGGAATTCTTTCTAAAAATTCATAAAAGGTTATTTCAGTGGATGAAAAACTATCGTATGTATAAAATGTTGTATTTTTCAAGGAAATTTAACTCAAAAATATTACTAAAGAGATGTTATATAAAACACTATATATTTTTATATTTCTCTTTACTTTTACATTTTAAGTTTACTAAATTTATTTATAAAAAATTACGAAATTATACTACCAAATTATTATCAATTTTATCGATTATTATTTCTAAATTTTATTATGAATGGGTCGTACTAATATTTTATCTTTCAAAATGTACACTATATCTTGAATATGAAATATAAAAAAAAAATATGAATATAATTTTCACAACAAAACATGTACAAGAATTATTATATCATAAAACCCGACACAAAACTTTATCATATTATATAGATATTACTCGGTTCACATATAATCATAATTTTATAATTTTACGCAATACAATTTGTGCAACGCACGAGAATAATTCTAGTATTAAATGAAGTACGAGCTTATTGTTGAATAGCGTCTATAATCTTATTGTGATATTATTATCTTAATACGGAAGGAGTGACGACCGAAGAATATTGTCGAAAATACATGAATCGAAGAGATCTCCGCCTACTCTAAGGTTTTTCTTTCACATGCTCAAGTTAATTTCAGAATCGGGGATGGTGTTAGAGAGTACTACTTTTGTTCGGGGAGAAAAAGGTTGATTTGATGTGATAGCATAGACAAAATAAAATGGCAAATCTTGTTGAATTAGTGGAGAAAACAGAGGGATTTTATGAATGTTAAAGACCAAATTTGGTAGTGGCCTCTACTTCCATATTGCCACGATCCATTTCTCCATTAACTAGTAATATTGGCAGGAAGCTTTTTCCATTCTATATGTAATGATTCTGAATTGAATAACCAAAAAGTTCAAATATTAGTAGTAACCCATAAGTAGTGGACCTTTTTTTTCTTTGTTTTTTTTTTGAATGACTTAAAAAATCATTGAAAATTGTTTCCTCGTGTTTTTCCCTAAAAACTATCTAAGACCGTACCTAATAGATGAACACTGAACAGTCAATGACTATTGGGGAACATTTGAATAATAACGCCAAGTAGGATACGAGGGATATCCTGGAATACTGTACTTTGTGCAGTCAAATTATAACTTTCATATCACAATCTTGACGACTTCTTTTTTTTTTTTACACTAATGCATTATTATTGTGCCTAAACGACCGACCGGCAAAGATGGCCACAGTTCGTTTACTTCGTTTGTTAATATGCTTTCCTCTGTTCATGGATTTGAGGCTTTGTTGACACGTTAAAAGGGCCAAAAATCTCTAGGGATTCGTCAACTTTATATAGTTTCATGAATCATTCATATGCATTCTCTGCTCAATTAAGACTTATGAGTGTTATGGTAAGTAATTAAAGAAACTCTCAAACTAGTGTTACATCGTTTTCATTTCCTTTAATGAAATGAGTGGTTGTGGGCTTCTGGTTTTCTGTCAAAAGCAACTTTAATTATGTGATTGCTGTGACTAAACATGTTCATTAATTCAGGTCAAAACTCAGTATACCATTGTACATTTTACATTTTGAATATACCTTTTTATATTTCCAATACAAAAAATACCTAAAAACACAAAAAAAAACGAAACAAACAAAATGCTACAACTTTTCCTGATACATATTTTCTTCAATTTCGTTATGAAGACAAGGTAAATTACTAGGACTGTGAACTGAAGTTAGAACAGTTTTTTTCTGTGGGAATCTGAAGTTGAGAGGTAAAAGCGTGATTTTATTATGGAAGCAATTGATCAGAGAAAAAACTACTGCTTAAGCAAAACGTGGGAAAACTTGCAGAGCATTTTTGCATCAACAGAAGTACAGAACAGAAGCATGACATGACAGAATGCGATCTGTCAATTGCATATTCAAAACTCAAAAGGGTCCCCGGAAACTGTATGGTACTTTGTTCTTTTCTTTCTCGCTACTGTTTCTGCCATTATTTCTCGTTGTAATTCGCTAAACTCGCACATGGTGTTGCACTGTTTTGTCAAATAGGCCTCAATAAAGTGGTGTCTTAGTTTTCTAGTTTCTTTTTCATCACTAAGTTAAATACTCTATTTGTCCCAAACTAAGAGTCATAATTTCAGTTTTATAATCAGAATTCTTATTTTGGGACGGAAGGAATATGACCTGAAATCTCCAACTCATGTATATTGTTTACGAGGTTGGAACTTCTTCCTATTGTCTATTGCTTGTTGGACATCTCCCGCTGTTTCTGTCTTATTTTGTACCTTTCCTTAGACGATTTTTTTTGGAAATGCGTGGATCATAATGAACTCCTATGAATCTATTCTTGTTCAACTGTGGGTCTTGACAGTGGCTTACCGAAAAGTTGATGTTCTTAAGGACAAAATGAGCTATTTTGTCATTAGTAATGTTGGCATTACCTCTTCAGACGAGATGCCTTGTTTATATTATGATACCAGTCTTTTTTATTGATAAATGAAGGTCAATTACTCTCATTAGAACACGATTAAAGTTCATTTCACAGCATCCTCCAAAACAAAAAGGAGGTAACTTAGGTCACGAGAACGACATAAGTGAAAATCACGGGGAAGGAAAGTGCATTTTACACCCAAAAAAAAAATGATTTTTAAGTTTTAACATATACTATATTGTCTTGTTTTGTACCATCATTTACAAGCAAGGTATCAGAATCTTTCATCTTTGTTACAAAAGGTGAAAAAGGAACACACAAGACTCAAGTTCAAGGATTTGGTCACTATAGTAGGTAGTATTTTTTTTTTTCCTTTTCTTTTTTTTTTCTTAAGAGGTGCATATCAATCAACATAGAATAAAGTGTGGCTGAGTGCTTTCAGAAAAAGCAAATTTAGCCTAAAAGGTGATTCTTTTACTAAAAGAACAGAGTGGAGCAGTTTTGTCATTCAGTGAAAAGGGCTCTATGCAAGGAGTTGTCATATTGCCCTGATGTTTTTTTGCCTTTTGTATAATTTTTTTAGGGGGTGGAGCTTTGGCTTCTTAGTGGATTGGCGGGACCAAAAAATTAAACTATACAAGTGCTAGTGATGTTGGTGACCACTAGCCACTATCGATGGAAAATCCCAGCTGCTTGCAGTGATTGTTTTGGTACTGCCAATTGCTAACAAACAACAATGTAGGGATCGGCAAAAAAAATACATCTAACCACCAATTGCTGTGTATCTGTGTACTGATTTGAAACTTTACATTTGTTTGTGTGTGTGTGTGTGGTGATTTCAAGTCCTTGATGACACTGACTTCCAAACTGTCAAAGACTTGGGGAAATGGAAAAATTGGCTGAACCTATACTGTTGTGTATTTCTGTTCTGTTCTGTCAGCAAAATGTGAGTAGGGGCCTCTGGATGTTTAGCCAAAAGGGCATCTTTGATGGTCTGTCATTCAATGATTGACCGTAGTTTTTCCCCTTTGGAATAAGTAGGTTTTCCCCTCCACGCTTCTAGTCACCGGTCTCAAATCCGAGAGTTCTTAACTTTAAAACCGAGGTATGGAAGAGGGACGCGTTAAGTTGGAGGTTCGAGTAAATATGGATCCTAGAAGAACTCGTGCAAATGTTAATAATGTAAGGAGTTTATTGAAGTAAGAATCTTGTTTCTTGAACCTGCTCAAGTGCTTCTTGACCAGAATGATTATAGAATTTAACCGCACTTGAGGGGAAATCTTGATCACATTACTAAATAATGATAGTAAGGGATACCACAGTGCCATTTTGCGCAAAAGGGAGAATCTTGTTGGGACTATTGAGAAGATCTTAGGGATTGAAAATATAATGTTAGTTTATGTCAAACGAGAAATCACTGTGTATGGACAGAATCGCAACCAGGGCCATAGTTTCAAAACTTGCAGGAAAGCTTTTTGTTAAGACTTAATAGCGAGAATCACATGATGATGGTATTTAAGAAAAGAGGCCAAAGAGGCAAAGACTCTGAAAAGATGCACACACAGAAAAGAAAGAAGGAGAAAAAAAAAACATTCTTTCTTTCTTTCTTCAACATACTTCATTAGATGGATGAGTTATTCGTCGGAGGGGACGACGAATAATTCAACAAAGCAATGGGCCTAGTGTAAGAGGAATAGGAATAAGAATCATGTCATGCATTATTTGTGGATATGCGTGTTCTTAGTTTTTATAGTAATTGACTCTGGGTTGAATCTTCAACCTAGATTTTTTATAATAAAATTTAACTTTGTTGAAAAGAGAAATGCAGCATCATCACCATAACAAAGAAAAAGGAAATAAAGCAAAGATACCAAAGATTGAAGGCATTAGATGCCTATGTTTTTTTTTTTGTTAGAAATATGATTCTCAGAGTTGACACCCATTTTCCATTACTGTGTAGAAGTTTAACTGGTTAAGTTTTCTCAGGGATTGACCAATTCTCAGGAGCAAAAAGCAGGACATAAAACGATCGTTTTATTGCTGATTGAATTGGGATAACAAATCTTGACAAAACTATGGAGAAAATTGAAGAAATCTCGGGGCGAATCCTCCTAGTTTCAGGATTATCACTGACAATCCTAAAGAATGACCAATCTTATGGACAAAAGGCCTAATGAGTAATGAATACCTCCCAATGAGCAACTCTGAAACTTCTTCTAGTCGGAATTTGGTCTAAAATGTAGTAGGAAATTAACTTTGGAAGCTGTTTTTTCCCCACCAACCCATTTAATAATTCTAAGGTAGCTTTCTTTCCTCTGTATTAACTAATAAGCACAGCCAAATTTGACCCTTCATGCATCACTTGTTTCACATATCCAGGCTAATATTTACACGAACTTTTCATAGGCAAACACATGTTTTTTATAAATTGTATATAACTTGACCATTCTCGTGGATGGAAGTCTCTACATCTGGAAAACTGTGTTGTAATCTCCAAGTTGAAATCCATGCAAATGGCTGGGCTTCTGATCATAATCATAAGCTGATGTTGTTATGACACTGCTTCGATTCGAGAGGCTAAACGGCATTGTCCCTCCTTGATGATGATAGCTGTAAAACGGCGATTTCACGACATCGTTCGGGTTCAAATGCTGCGCCGGTTTTCGCTCGATTCGATTGTCTTCGGAGGAAGAAGAGGAGGACTTGCTGTCAGCAAGATTTACTGTGGTGATATCGTGTATGCTTGATCTCCTTTTATCTTTGGCCCCTGAAAGCTGCCTGATAAAGTACTTCTGAGCATGACTCGCAACCTGAGTTGGTGTCCTAGTGGTCACGAAATTGCGTGATATATTGCGCCAGTCTCCTTTCCCATACTTTTTCAGCCCCAACAGAAATTGCCTGAATGATTGATGAATCAGAATCACCATCCACAACCATGATAACAAATGTTCAGAAATTAGAAACAATAAACAAAAAAGACCATTCTCCATCACAACTGAAATATTAATCAATCAACTCAAATGCATTTAATGATAGCTTTTTGAGAAATTTAAAGGATCTGGGTAGTCCTGATTTTAATGCAGGTTGAGAAAATATATATCAGATGCATTTATTGGCAACTTCTACAAAATCTTTAAGCAAATAGATAGGCCTGATTGATGCAACATAAGCTGAGAAATACTAACAAAAAACAGAACAAAAATTACCTGTGTTCTTCCTCAGTCCAGGGCACACCTTTCTTCCTTTCATGATCAGAAGGGCGAAGAGCCGATCCATTTCGCTTACAACCCGGGGAATAGAATTGCTTGAAATCATCATAACCATAACCATAACCATAACCATGATTAGAGTCTACCCATTCCAGCTTGAAGGAGTTGGCCAAATAACTAGGGATTGGAATCAACCCTGCTTCAATATCACTAACATCTTCTACTAATTCCCTGTACTGTTTCATCACATCACTCTCTGTCTTTCCTGGGATCATAGCCGCCACATTCCTCCATCGATCCGGAGTATCCTTATCGAACAGAGCCAGTGCATTCTCAAACCTTTTATTCTCTTCTGGTGTCCACTTTGTTGTTCCTCTGCTGCTGTCATCGAACAACAACCAATTGTCACTCGGGCTGCCCAGAAATGATGATGCAGGAGATAGGATTTCCATTCCTCTGTTCATCTCTTCTGTACTTTCATCCGAGATTGGGAAGAAAACTGGGGAGAAAAAGAACAAATGCGAGGGACTGGTTTAAGGAGTGGCTAATGGGTACGTCTTTAGTATTCAATGATGCTCCTTAGATAAGCATTTTATCAAAGAAGAATCTGAATACAGAATACCCCTTTTGACACGAGTTTATGATGAGAGGAATCTTGGAAAGAGAACTCAACTTTCCAAAGCCCAAGGAAAATTGAACAAACTGTAGGAAAAAAACTCCCCCAAAAAAACAGAAAAACCAGAGAAAGAAAAGGGGTTAAAGTAGATCTCAATTATGAACGGCAAACACTAGAGAGCTGCTCTTTTATATAAGATCCTAAAGGCAGATTGTGCTCCACCTTTGGTTGCTACATGAAAACCAAACATAAAAAAACCATTTTAGAGGAATTCTTAAGGTACAAAAAGGTAAAAAGGGATAGTCTTTGTGACTTTTAAAACTCTCAAGCACACAGAAAAAAAAAAGAGCTTTAAACTCTGATTTCTCTGAAGTTTAATGCTCTATGGTGCTGCAATTTGGATTGTTCAATTTATAAGAGTGGCAAAAAACCCTAAACCCATTTAAGAAAACACAGATAAAGTTGCCAACTGAAATGACACAGGCAACATGGAGCTAGATCCTCCCTATAAAATGGAGCAATAAAAAGTAGGAAAACAAAAACAGAAAGAAAGGGGTTCTTTTTCTCGCTCAATCTGCTTGTTAATGGCAAATTTGATTTGGATTTTTGAGAGAGATCAAATCCAACTGGGCAACTGGGTTAAAAAAATTTCTTTTAAAGTAAATGATCAGATCAATCAGTTCAAACTTCAAACCGTACTAACTTGATGGCAACTGAATACACTAATATTATTATAGGAGAAATGAAAGTTTGAGAGGAGAGGGGAGATGGAGGCGTATCAAACTGTGATTGGCTGAAATGTGCTCGTGGGACCTACCCATGCTAGTTTCCTAAGTTATGAAAAACATTAAAAATTTTCATAAAGAAATGAAAATGTAGTAATCAGTGACATTAAGGAAAGGGCAGAAAGACGGGGAAGAAGCTGGCCAATCAAATGGCTTAAAGGACAATCTGTCATTTACTGAAATGGATGCCCTAGTATTATTTTATTTTTCTTGGTATGAAATGTATGAGGTGCCCTGAGCAAATACATCTACATTTTTTCACTAACATCATGCTTTGGGCTTTCTAAATTACACTATCACAGTAATTTGCAGTGCGATGTTATCGGTATCTCTTATTTATGACGCAATGTAATAATTAAGTGTTTTAAGTTTTTGTTTATATTATGATACTTAAAGGAAAATTAATCTCAAATCAATACTAGTCGACCCATCTCTAAAAAGTAAACCAAATAAGTATCTATCGAACTCGAAACTTTAAAGTGAATAAACTATTTGTCACTTGACTAGAAAAATAGTTCTAACATAGTTTACGTTAAAACAAATTGGCTAAATTGTTTGCTAGGGAATACCTATAAAAAGAAAAGTTGGAAGTAGTTTTGGGCAAGGGAATGGTGGCGGTGGTGTTTGACGAATGACAACTAGTCTTTTGTATTTTTGTTGGGAACTTTTGTGTGGCAAAACTTTGGTGTTGTTCCTTTTTTTAATATATACTAATAATTTAATTTACTAAATTTGTCACTAATCCCATTTTATAGTAGTTTTATTGATTGTTTCTGATGACTAATTTGATATAGTGTGCGGTTGCTTTTGTTCTTGTACGGCTTAAACACTTGCTTAATTAACTAATTAAGTACCTAACTCTTCGAATGTAAGCTTTGGCAGTTCGGCTAAACAACCTCAGTAGGTTCCAAAAGAATTTTAACAACCGGTCAAATAGTCATCTCTGGAAAGCAAGACACAATTTTATCATTCTTTTCTCCGGTACAATTAAAGAAACAAGCGCCGGTATCAGATTATAAAACAAGAATATATTACACTTACGACATAGTGATTAATCCAAAGTAACCCTACTTTTATAAGTCGATGATTCGGCTTCACAATGATATTTTTACCTAGTAGCCCTGATGAAATTTTTTGAAAACAATCTTTGAGAATTTTTGAAGCTGCAAATTTTTCGGAATGGTTACTTTTAAAGCTTTAGAAGTGAAAATTTTTCAATACCTTTTCGTTTAGAATGTTGGGTTTGAGTCTAAGACGGCTCATGTTTGTATTTTTCAGATGTAGGCAAAATTGGAGCAAACACAAGCATATTGAGGATGTTTTCTGTTCTTTTAACCCACTATCAATGTTGACTAGTGAAAATATGATGCAATTTAAATTTAAACCAAATACATATGCAACAAGATTTTCAAAATTACATAAATTGTGTAATTCGATATCAAATCAACTACTTATCATTCTCACTTTTTCAAAAGTACTCATTTCATCGTAAAACAAGAATCTTGCATGATTTTTAATTTGGGACGATAAGATAACTCGCGATGAATTATGAAAATTAATCTTAAACGCCTCTTCCAACCCAACCATTTAAGGGAAAAACTATTTCAGACAGGAGTATGTCACTAGCCATGATGTTGTTCAGCGAGGGGTGGTTATGATAATTAATTGTGGTTTAAGTATATGTCATATGATATGATGTGTTTCATGATGTTTTATAAGTATGCCTTTTTGTATTAAAGTCTCTGACCATGTTTTTTTTCCCCATATTTCCAAGTGATTCAGACTTCAGAGAGACAGAGACCATTGTCAGGCGTTCAGTACAAATACAATAATTCAGACCAAAAAGAAAAATATATTCAGAATTAACCTGAAATTGAATTACGTTTGGTGGGACTGACTATTCACTTCCTAGCAGGAACAGTCAAAAGTAAATCAGTAATTTTATTTTAAAAAACAGAAAATTGATGTCTGCTAAAAAAGTAAAAGAATTGCAAGCAAACAAAAAGTGGTGACTTTTGGGAAATAATTTTATCCTGTGTTGAAAAAGTATAAATGGATCTGGCACAAATTTAGAAACTGAATTCCACTTGAGGTGGTTGTATAAGTAAAAAACAATGATAAATTGATAATAGTGGCTGGCTATTAATTTGTTATTGAAAAAAAAAAAAAAAGAAAACCCAAAGAGGAAAACTGGTACAATCTGTATCACTTTTGTCGGCATTTTTGTTTATCAAAAATTAGAAGAGGAGGAAAATCCATAGCTCAACGAGGTCAAAATTCGAAGAATAACATGAAATGAAGAAAGTTCATTCTTGATATACCCGTTTTCTTGTTCTTTATTTTTTTCTTCCAAATCTGATAAATGATTTATTACCTTATTTAATTTTTGAAACAACAGTAACGGATAGAAAGAAATATCACAATAAATATTGTGACCAAAATTCAATCTACCAATCTAAGTTTAAACGTTTAAATTCCAACGATGAGGTGTCAGAAATGAAAAGATATGGTTTAAACTTCATAACTTCTTATTTGTTTCTTTGTCAATATCACTACTCTTTTTTGAATAACTTGCATCGATGGGTAGTTTTTATTATGTGCATAAAATTTGAAATGTGACCTTTGGTTACAAAAAGAAGGTAAAAAAATGCAGGTTGTTGAAATGTAATTAATGTCTTTTTATAATTTATAAACAAAATTTTGCGATTGCCTGTGTACGTCCCTTTGGAGTTTTCAAAGTTTTTTTTTTTTTTTTTGTATCCCAAATTTTGCGTCACCTTGACCATATTAGTTTTTTTAAAAAGCAGTGATACACATTCAATGGAAAATCTGAAGGAAAACGTATACTCAACTTAAAGTCTCCGCATAATGTTAAGTGGTTAACCTAATAATATGAAATATATGGAGATTTAGATGATTATAATGTAACCTATTCCCTTCATTTCAATTTGTAGGTCATTTTAGGTTTGGAGAGATTTTTCAGAATGTAGATCATTTTACAAATTATAGACAAATTAATGACTATTTTTTCAACTTTGCCCTCAATGAATGATACCTGTCTATTTTGATTTAGTCTTGTTTATAGTTTCAATATAATTAATGAGGGTTAAAATAGATATTTAACACATAAATTAATTATTGAATTATTGTCTTCTTAGTTTACGTGTAAAGACTAAAGTGACCTATATTTGAAATGGAGGGAGTACATCATATTTTAATTTTTATTCATTAAGAATTTTCACTAGATATATTACTAATCTTTTTAAAATCACATGCTAGTATATAGTACGGTGAAATAATTTTTTTTTCCTTTTTAAAGATTCTCGAAGAATCCAATCTGAGATGGTTATAAATGGAAAAGGTTAATTTAGATCTTGTGTTGGAAAATGGAAATAGAGTTGGTATCCAAAATCAATAAAATACAAGTGCAAAAGGTCAAGGACTTAATGGCTGGCTGACTGGCTCCTCCATAATTATTGAGTTATATACCACCAGCTTAATAATAGTTTTTTTTTTGGTTTTTTATAATATATATCTGTCATTATTATTATTATTACTATTAATTTTGTAATTGAAGCTGCCGCTACTATTTCTAACAGTATATTCCCTCATCCTCCAGGGAGAATTGTCTGAATGGTTTTGAACCTAATGAACTGTAGGCAATACTACTTGCATAATGCGACCTTTTCTTCTTCTTCTTCTTTTAGAATCAAATTTATTCATAAGAAGTCATCCAAACACGGTCGAAGGATTGATAGTAATTAACGAGGGAGTTGAAGATCAAAATCTGAGCCAGAGTAATTTTAAACCAATAATAACCAAAAACAAAGAAAAAACAGCTATCTAAACACATTTATTTTACGCTAGCCTGTAAAGAATTCAGAGGAAGTTACAAATTCGACACTATAATAACATATCGCCTATTGAATACCATACCTTTTTGTACTATTACCTCCGTCAAAAAAAAAAAAAAAATAGTTCATATTGAGTTTTCAAATTTGTAATAAAAATAATATAAAATTCAAAACTCAATGTGGACTATTTTTGTGGGACGGAGGGAGTATAATATTTACAATTTGAAGTTAGAATCTAATTAATAAATCCTACAGAAATGAATCTAACATAACTGTAAAAACAAGTAAATTAGTTAGAATGATGTAGCCACTTGAGGATACAAGATACAGTACACATTCAAAGCCCATGTAAAAAAAAGACGGATCAGAATCTTACGGCTGGCGCTAAGGGCGTCGTTGGGAATGAAAGTGGAGAAAATTTTATTTACTATTTAATTTATTTAAAACAAGGCCAAGTGAAAGATTACTTAAAAGGGAAAGATTCGTACAACTACCAACTTTCCAGAACAGGGCCATGTGATTAGGTTTGGGCAAGTCCGTCATGTTTACGTGTAACCAGCTTGCATTTCTGTCACTAATTAATTACTTTAAACATTTTTCTTCTTCTCCTTCTACTCAAAACTAATTCTGCACACTATTTATTTAATCAATTTTTTTTATAAAAAATTGAAATATTAAAAAATATATAGTTACAAATTATTTGACCGACGAAGCTCTGACTGAAAGAGATGAAGCAACTCGACAACGAGTTTTGGAGTCAAATTGGATAATTCATGAGGTGTGTGATTCGGTTAGATGCATCTACGTTTTTAAAATTATTGTAATAACAAAAATAAAAAATAACAATAACAATTTTGTTTGACATATTGATTAGGGAAATGACGTCAGGACGTACGACTGTTGAATTTGTAAACATATAAAAGAATTGAATGATGTGGTTCCGACGTCTCTCTCGTAAGCTTGCCGACGATGGTTTAGTTTAAAATTTTTCGCAACAAAACCAATAATTTTTTTGCTGCGCTGTTGTCGCTTCAACTCTCAAAGTTTCATAACTAAACACTTTTAGTTTTTTTTTTAAAAAAAATCAAGTTCTACGACATTAATTGAAAGAGTAAATATAGCGTTATACCTCCGGACGATACTTTGTGGATATTACTCGCGAAGTCGGAAGTTGCAGTTGAAGTAATATGAAAAATTTCTGACTCGCGAAAAATGATCGAAGCGTGCGCGCGTGGAGTCTCTCCCTTAGTAGTATTATTTTCTTTTCCATAAATCTCACCCACATATAATAGACTAGGTACTTATAATTGTGTGTAAAAAAAAAATCCGGCTAAGAATTTGTACCAGGGAAAAAAACAGCCCAAATCAAATTACGACTTAACCAAAAAAAAAAAAATCCGAGATTTTCAATATCACCCCCCACCCACTTTTTTTTAATTTATTATTATTATTATTATTATTTACATATTTGTAGGGTGTCCATCGTCGGCAATAATGACTAATCCCTCTCACTGAATTGTAAGCATCTCAATCGATACGACAGCTGGTCAAAGTATTTAAGGTTACTCCATGCCCATGACAAAATTCAAACCTTCGATCTATGATTAAAGGTGAAAGAGTTCATTCCACTCATAACAACCACTTTGGTTATCCCCCACCCACTTTGTTGTACCAGAGAATCTATGAAACAGTGTAGTACCTGTTCTTGTAAGGTTAATCAGACGTAAATGGTTCACGAATATATTAACCTTCATTTGATCATTTTCATGGCCGGATCTTGTTTTCCAAATGAGTACAACAACCATTTCTCTAAATTTAACCTATACACTGTTGGTGTGTGTATTTTCCCGGCCACAACTAGGTTTAAATTTACTTTTGAGCACGTTGAGCCGAAAAAAGGGGAAAAAGAAAAATTCCGGTGATCAACTTCAACAACTTAGTCCCAACTCCCCAGCTTAACAAGCGAGATGGTGAAATAATCTTTTGCTGGTTTTGGTGGCAATGCTTTGGGCCTTTTAAACTTAAGCTGAGTGTTTTAGGCTAAGAATCGAAAACCCATACTTTCGCCGGTTAGCGCATTTCTCCTCTTAACAATCGAAAACCCATGCTTTGGGCCTTTTTTCTTCTTTTTCTTTTTCGGGTTATAAAGAAGAAGGGAGAGGTATCAGCCTAAAAATTAAATAGACACAATAATGAAATAAATTTCCCCAATAACAAAATGCCTAATCTATAGTTTTATCCCTTTCGGTAGAGTTTTGAGCCATTGCAAAAACTTTATGTCACTAATGAAACCAAATAATTTATCACAAAATTTACCTTCCGCTTCTCATGTTAGAATTTTTTCAATTAATTTCTGATCAACAACCGTGTAACCCGCATAACAACGTCGATATTAATTAATTTCAAAGGTCTCCACCGCAGTCTTCACCAGCATAATAATACTCCTATGATCAACATGGACTAGCACTTTTCCATACTCGAACGAAACTCAACAAGACGTTAATTTTACAATAATAAAGTTGTGTTTATAGCACACAATTTTTATTTTTAATATGTAAGACCCCAGTTGGAATGATGTAGTACAATTAAGAAGACATCAGGACGGGGGATTTCAAGAACTCTAGATTTCCATGTGTTAAATATGATTAGGTAAGAAAAGGTAAGTGCGATATCTACTTACGACTTTTTTTGTGATCCAGTCCCATTGATTTCCCTCGACAAACAAACCAGTTGGTTAAGGGCTAGTAACCTGCAAGTTTGGTGTTTGGTCCCGTCAAAACCAAATTAAAATAGCTAGTGCAAAAGTTCAATACTACACTAATGTAATGCAGTATCCAAAAAAAAAAAAACAGAAGCTATTTTGATTAGTTTGGTTTAATTAAGCTTTTCAAAATTAAACCAAAGACCAAAAATGTTCCCAGGAATGATCTAGTGATCTGGCGATCAGTGGTCTACAAACCCTTGTGAAAAATTTCAGGATCGACACTCGTTGCATCTCCTTCTCCCTATGTATCAAGAGACAAGAGGAATTAGGGGGGAATAAATTCGATGTAAAATCAATATTTCTTTTGATATTTCAAAGAATTTCGAGGGTACAGGTACAGTTTGAAATAATAATAATTATCCACATCTAATCTGAACCAAAATTTGGCCATCATCACTCAATGAACAAATGCACCCTAAACAGCATACAATTACAATCTTATGAAAAAAAAAAAGTTTGAAATCATTCCTTTTTTTTTTATTGGCTCATTCTTCGTCCACCTCCTCCCAAAGTTTTTCCGGGCTCCTCATTGATTCGGTTTCCCAACTTTTACTTCTGGGAATATGTAAAAGCTCCTATATGTATCATATAGGCTGATATACTTTAATAATTCCTCTCTTTCCGCCCACCAAACCAACAACAAACTCAGCATTTTGGAAGATCACTTGGAGGTGGAAGAATAGACTCGTTTGGTCCGCTGCCATTGTCAACCAGAAATGCCATTTTCAACCCCCATGTTGTATGAACTTCCAAGTGACAATGCATAAACCAAACCCCTGTGGTGTAGATGAAATCAGAAAACGGTTAATAAATGTTATTGCACTAAATAATAATATTCCCTAGTCCCAAAATAATTGTTCAGTTTGAGATTTCACTTTTAGTACAAAACAATTATTTTGGGACGTAGGGACTAATGAAATAAATATGCTGAAGTGACCCCAAAAAAAGGCTGATTAATTAAGTACCTGGATTATCAGCCCGGAATCGAATAGCAACCCACCCGCCGGAGGGAACTCCGATGGTGTTCCTCTCGACGGGATCAACCAGATTGAAATTCTTTGGATCCACATTGGGATTGTAGTTTCCAAGCCCTCGACCCACTGCGAAGAAATTGAACCCGTGCAGATGAAGCGGGTGGTTTTCCGGAGCGATAATACCCGTATCTTGCAACACCAGTTGTACCGTTGAGTTGTAAGCTAGCCTGTAAAGCTTAGTTCCACTGCTGGTGGCCAGGTTCGACGGAGGCGGACCCGTATAATTAAACGGGGCGGGAGGGTTTCCGGGGAAATCGGTGGTGAACACTCCCGGAATGTTGAAAACGTGAGCCTGGAGAAGTGCTATCTTGGGCATCACGAATGTGACATTGTTGATACTGGCCACAACCCGGCTTCCGTTGGCCGGTTTACAGCTCGGGCACGGGTTGATACCAAGCCCGACTGTGAACAGAAGGGAGTGATCCACCTTCAACGGGACGTTCGCCGGATACTTGGCTGAATTCAGGGCCCGGAGTGAGTTTGTAAACTTGTTGGCAACCGGGGTTGCGTTTAATGGCGGCGTGGCGGTTAAGACGGTCGGCGTGCTGGAGAGGGTGCCGGAGTAGTGGAGCGTGGCGGTGGCGGTGTTGTTGTCCACCGCGATGGGGGAGTCCATGAAGGTGGAGGCGGTGAGCATGTATCTTCCGGCAGATTGATCGGCCGAAACGATGACGTTAGTGGTTTGACCCGGAGCAATCAGGACGGTGTCGGTTTTGAAGGGTTTAACGTAGGTGGCGTCGACTTCAACCACGGTCAAAGTGTGCCCGGCGATCCTGAAGAAGAGTTCTTCATTGAGTGCAGCATTGACTAGTCTCAACATGTAAGTTTTCCCCGGTTCCACACCCAATCGGAACCCACCTGCATGCATTTCCATAATATAAATCAAATGAAATTGATAGATATCTAATAAAAAATGACTGTTATTTTGGGACGGAAGAAGTATAGAACAAACCTGTGGAGCAGTTTGCAAGGGGTCCAGGATGACCATTGATGGTATGAGCATCAGATACATTAGGGGCCAAGCCTGATTTTAGCGCTTCATTGATGATGGCTTCTGTGTCTGATTTCCACCATTCGGCTGTGTCCATGCAAAAGAAATTGCAATTGAATGTTATTATAAGGTTCAATATTTTAATACCCAAAATAAATCAAGGGTGAACTTTTTGATAGGCAAGTTCAATTTTTATTACCTAAAATTAGAACAGCTTCGTGGTCGGGCTTGGGAAATGGATACGGGACACCAAGCTTAGGCAAAATAACAATAGCACCGTGGACGGTGGCTCTGAGCCACAAAATGTGAGCGTGCCACCAAAGTGTACCCCTTTGTCCGGTGAGTGTAAAGTTGTACAAGAAACTGTGGCCTGGCCGGATCGGGCACTGTGTGATGTATGCCGGACCGTCTGACCAACCTGTCCTAAGTTGCCTGATTCCATGCCTACAGGAATATTACATAAAAATTACGTCCAATATAATTAGATAATTTTAACAATTCTGAAAAATTCAGTGGCTAATAATTAAGTTGATGATTAATGAATGTCATACCAGTGAATGGAAACGTTGTATTTAACCTTGTTGACGACCCTGATGAGGACTGTGTCGTCTTCCCTGGCATATACGGTCGGTCCTGGAAACTTCCCGTTGACCGTCACAATGGGCTTGCTTGAACACAACCGGCTTGTGTTCTTCGTCACCACCTGCACATTTTAGTAACTCCGGATAAAAAATAAGAGTACCCAAATGGGAAAATTTTATGATCCGCTTGAAATTAATGAAATTGATTTAGTAATTCGTGATGTCTTCTTTTCACTTTTTGCCAATAATTTTTATCGTAAATTCGTAATGATTTTGATTTAATAATAATCATATATAAATGCATGTACGTATTACATTTTTATTTTCCCTAAGGACTAAAACTTTTAAATATAAATTGCGTCGCCAGCTGCCGCATATTGTATCTTGATTCCCGATACTTGAGAGATTAAATTTGTTAGAGAATATCCAGGGAAACCAACATTTGAAATCCCTCAGTTATATGTCAAAAATGCAGTCATGAACCAAGAGAAAAAAATAAACTAAAATACTTAGATCATATATACATCAGGACCGCAAAAACTGAAGTGACAGAAGTATATTGAAATGCATGAAAATTTTCTTGACGATTTGATCCACTTACATCGAACTTGTAATGCCGAACTCTGCATTGAACAACGTCCGGCGCGACGAAGAATGTAGCCAAGATCAAAATATGAACCCAGGAATAATAAGAAGAACAAGAAGAGTAGTAACCCATGATTTTGGATTAATGATTTGTCGTCTCTCTGATGGATCCTTTTCCACCTCTAAATTTTGACTTGTTTGCTGTGTTTTCAGCTCTAATGTCGTTTGCCTGATTGTTGCAGTCGGGCTGTCAGTCTTGACTAGCCAACGCAAACGTATATATAGGGGTGATAGTTTGATAAGGTTTGCTAGGAGAGATATTGCTTCTAGTAGTAGTAATGCTAGCTTCTTTGCTGCTTTGCTGCAATGTCGTTTTTGAGCAGTAGGTGAAACTGTATTTTGGAAACCCCCAACGATTTAGGGAACCTTGGATTTCAAGGTTTGGCTTAACAAAACCAACCTTTCCTTTGCATCATTTCGTGCTTTTTACATAAAGTTAAAATTTTACATCTGTTTCTCTTGACTTAGTCCTTTCCTAATTTATGTTTACTGAGTTACTATCACTGTTTCACCTGTTTTGTGCATTGGTGTTTGAGACGGACATTTCAACAATTTGATCGAGCTAATTATACTACATTTTTTGGGTTAATCACTCGGGTTTTTACTTCTAAGTTAGTTCATCGTATTTTGTTTCAATGTGTTGTCCAAAATCAAACTTTATTCCTCAACAATTAATACTTAAATTAAACAAAAGGGGGATTTTATTGAACCATTCATTAGATATATTGTCATGCTTCATCTGAATGATTTGACCATGTATCAATGTTTTACTTTAATAAATCTAATTAAATTACCTACCATACCATTTGCCATAGTACTTTACTATTCGTGGTACTAGGAGCTTCATGAGTACTAGCTACATCTTTTATGAATTGTCATGTTTTACTAGTAGTATATTAAAAATTGTAATAGAAACAGAATAATCAATCGTATTTAAGAAACATAAAATATCTTGTAAATTTAAAAATACTATTAATAGTTTTGATGTTTGCATATAACTCGGATAGACATGCAAAGAATAGACTTCTTCTTTTCTTTTCGTTTTTCTGGTAAAAAGAATAGACTAAAGTACTGTTGATGCATAAAAAAAAATTCTGTAGTGCTAAAGAAATCATCAAGTCAACCCCTCCTGGTCCGTAGGCCAACTTGACACTTGGCAAACTGGGTTTTGGCTATTTGTGGCAAATGCAGCAGCTTTTGTAAATGCTAAACAAATTGGAAAATTAAAATTTTTTGCCTCATTTATTTACAATTTTTTCCGAGCATAAATTGCCTTCCCAAAATTCTTTTTTATACTATAAATATGGAAGAACGGTCCTGTATTTCTGTCTCAGTCTTTTTCAAAAACAAATAGCATTTCTCATTCTCGGTTAATTAACGTGTGAAAATCGGCTGAGCTGTTATTTGGCAGTGTCAGCTACAACATGAGCTATTCTATTCATCAACTTAAACCTAACACCAAAACTCGAGAATGGATGGATTTGTTGAAAAATCTTTTAAAAAATACCAATAAACAATATTTATTTTGGGACTTTTTTTTTTCATGCTCTTCTCTATTCCAAAATAAAAATATTGATCGTTAAAAATATGACTGGTCAAAATTCGAAATATTTAAGTGATAATCTCGCCTACTGAGGTTATTCATTCCCCAACCTTTTCGCTTAGGAACTTTGATAGTATGGTTCAAAATTACGATTAGTTTGATGTATTTGAGATGAGAATAAGTGAACTCAACATAAGAGAAGTCTAGATAGCTAAGCAATTAACAGGCAAAAACCAAGAATTAGTTTGAATTATGGTTGCGAAATTCCTTTCATATGTGAGTGTTTGGCATCAATTTCGTCGTTCTTGCTGGCATGGCAACATGGACATCATGGTGGTTGTTTGAAAGCTAAGACTAATCCCAACCATTGGCTAACTAACCAAATCCTTCCACACATATCCACCTGATTTAATTCTCACAATTCAATCCTTGAAAACCTAGATCATCATGAGTAGTAGTTGATTAATTAACCAATTCAGATAGATTTTTATTTGTTTTTTTGACTATAACATTTGAAACTAATTGTTTATATTTAGCATAATTTAATATACAATTTTCTTGGCAATGTTGGGTTGGTGCACTGAGGGTTTATCCCACCAATTTCAGTTGTTATTGGTTGAAATTGCCAATCATTACCACTAGTAGCTACGTTGATCACTCCGTATAATCATTACTTGTGATCGACAAAATCGTAGTGTGGGATTGCGGTCCTTATTTTTGTAAAAATTCACTTAAAATACAATGGTTTGGAGGTTTTGATGGGTGCACTCATTTAGCCTGTTTTTTACATAGTCAACCCAAGCCCAGGTTTGGATAAGTAGGACTTTCATTGTGGCACTTTGGATTGCTATTCGGGATGGAAGATTGGGCTCTGTGTACACCTTTTTAAGGAGTACTTATTTCATTTTTCATGTCCAGAGTGTCATAATGGTGAAGGTATAGATGATCACTTTGGAGTTCGTGGGTCTAGTCCTAGCTATTGGAAAGATCTAATTGGTAGAGAATGGGTTGTGGATCTGAATTATACTGTCCTCCGTCCTACAAAAATAATCCAAATTAAATTTTAAATTTTGTATTATTTTTAGTATAAATTTGAAAATTCAATTTAAACTATTTTTGTGCGACGGAGGTAGTACAGTATTTCTACAAAGACATAACTTTGTGTCTGATTGTTTGCAAGTATAGGACAACTTGGTATTGAGCATTTTCAAGATTATTTGGTCCGTTAAGTATAATCAAGTCGTTGTTGGAATAAGACGTGATTGATACTAGTCATTCACAAAATGTATTAATTTGATATTTAGGCTTTACCTTCTTTTACTACCAAAAATATTCAAATGCCCCTCCAATTCATTTTTTTTTTTTTTGTCATTTAAAATGAAGTCCTTTTAAAAAATAAGTCAAGAATTTTTTCTTAAAATAAAAGTTCCACAAAATGTCCATCCTGTAACTTGTTCTTTCTTGTTTCAATGGAAAAAAAAAAATCCTAAAAATATCCCATCTAAGATGGTCAACTCGATTGCATTTTCCATGAACTGATGAACTGGACATCAGTCATCAGCAGTGACCAGTCCTCAAATTCATAACACCTCGAAATGGAACGAATGAGGAAAAACCATATCAACATATAATTAAAATTTTAACACCAACACACGTGGATAATTCAATGTTACTCGGTAGTATTGAAGTTTTCCGATTGAACTGTGTGCCAACCGCCATGCCTCAAGGAAGTAGTCTGGTACCCTTTCTGACTCTCTAGCCATAATAATTGGCCATTGGCCGCCAGCCAACGCCAATCTTCATATATGCATGAAAGCAGTCTATTTATTACAACCTCTTAATTATCACATTCTTTTCTTCTTTTTTTTTCCCTTTAATTATTTCCTTCGAAATGGACTATTAAAATGGGACAGACCAGAGTAAAACTTATACTACATGGGAGGAGAAGTGATTATTAGGGAAATGGCTGAAGAAGATCAATATACCAAAGATGGAACCACTGATTTTCGAAACAATCCGGCGATCAAAGACAAAACAGGAACCTGGAAAGCATGCCCTTATATCCTCGGTATCTATACATCAACTAGCGATTATTAATTGATTGGAATTTTCGCTTCTTCTTAAAGATATGTGTTCTTCATTATTTTGTATCAGGAAACGAATGTTGCGAAAGGTTGGCATACTACGGGATCAACACCAATCTCGTGAATTACCTGAGAATCCAAATGAACGAGACCAATGTTGCTGCCGTGAATAATGTCACCAATTGGTCCGGCACCTGCTATGTTGCACCATTGCTCGGAGCCTTTGTAGCCGATGCCTACTTGGGCAGATACTGGACGATTGCAACTTTCTCCATCATTTACGTCTTCGTGCGTCACTTCTTCCAATAAATCTTATAGATTCTTTATTGACATTTGCACTAGAAAAATAAACGTTTGATTTTTGTATGCAGGGGATGACGATTCTGACATTATCCGCCTCCGTTCGTGGACTCAAACCGCCTTGCGACGAGAAGAGCATTTGCCATCCGAAAGGCCTCCAAAAGGGTGTTTTCTTTGTCGGGCTTTACCTAATTGCTCTCGGAACCGGTGGAATCAAGCCTTGTGTCTCGCCATTCGGGGCAGACCAGTTTGATGATTCGGATGAAACAGAGAAGAAGAGCAAGAGCTCTTTCTTCAACTGGTTCTATTTCTCCATCAACATCGGTGCTTTAATAGCTGCCACGGTGCTTGTGTGGATCCAAACCAACGTGGGATGGGGCTGGGGATTCGGGATTCCTGCCGTGGCAATGGCGGTGGCGGTCGTGAGCTTCTTTTCGGGTACCCGACTCTACCGGAATCAGAGGCCCGGAGGGAGCCCGTTGACTCGGATCTGTCAGGTTGTGGTTGCTTCGTTGAGGAAATGTCGAGTCAGAGTTCCTCAAGACAAATCCATGTTGTTCGAGACTGCAGATGAAGAATCAGCTGTCACAGGAAGTAGGAAACTTGATCACACTAATCAGTTCAGGTAACTAATTCAATTTACCTCGCTAATAAATTAAATGGTCCAAAACCTCATAATCAAATCCTTTTTTTTTTTGCTATATAAGAACTGTTAGACAATCTCAAACAGGTACTCCCTCCGTCCCAAAATTATTGTCCATTTTAATATTTTATGTTTTAGTACAAAGAGTACTAAAAGGGAAATCTCAAATTTGACAATAATTTCATGACAGAGTACATACCACATTGGGACTAATCCAAGTCGACCTGATTTTTCGTATGCAGATTCTTTGATAAGGCGGCTGTGGAAGATCAGTCAGATCGAATCAAAGGGACAGTTAACGCATGGAGGCTATGTACTGTGACACAAGTCGAAGAACTAAAGTCTATAATCCGACTTCTTCCCATTTGGGCAACAGGAATTATCTTCAGCGCTGTATACAGTCAAATGGGCACTTTATTCGTCTTGCAAGGCAATACCATGGACCTTTCCATGGGCAAATCCTTCCAAATTCCTTCAGCTTCTCTGTCCCTCTTTGACACAATCAGCGTCATCTTCTGGGTTCCTGTTTACGACCGCGTAATCGTGCCATTTGCGCGGAAATTTACCGGCCACAAAAATGGATTCACGCAGCTTCAAAGAATGGCGATTGGGCTAGTCATTTCCATCTTCGCGATGCTGATTGCCGGAACTTTGGAGCTTATCAGGTTGAAAATGGTGAAAGAACATAACTATTATGAGCTGAAACACGTTCCCATTTCGGTTTTCTGGCAAGTTCCACAGTATTTCATCATTGGTTGTGCCGAGGTTTTTACGTTTATCGGGCAGTTGGAGTTTTATTACGAACAGGCTCCCGATGCGATGAGAAGTTTGTGCTCGGCTCTTTCGCTCACGACGGCCGCGCTCGGGAACTATTTTAGTACTTTTCTGGTGAACGTTGTGACGGATTTGAGCACTAAAAATGGAGGTCCTGGTTGGATACCGGATAATTTGAATTACGGTAGACTGGATTATTTCTTTTGGCTTCTGGCAGTGTTGAGCTTAATCAATTTGGGATTCTATCTATTAGTTGCAAAGTGGTACACATACAAAAAGGCAATCATCTAGCTATGTAGCTAGATAGGGATTGTTGGTATGAGGTTTGCTGCAAAAACAATATTGGCTATTGATATGTTTGAGCATTGAGATAAATGGAAATGAGTGACAAAGTTGTATTGAAGTACCCTTTTCTGAATGTTGTATTATTCATTTGACTGTTCTTAGTATATCTGTAATCTCCACTTTCACATTTATGAGTTACATATCATATGTAATCAAATTCGTCACGATTAAATGATGACAAGTTGTAAGGTTAACGCTTCTTGTACCACAAAAATGTCACACAATGCAAACATATGGTCGGAGATATTCTTTTTGACTTTGAGATGAACACGTTACATAAATCTTAAGCTATAACTTTTGGCAGACACAAACAAGTCAATCAGATGAGGCCGTCCTTTTCAAGCTTAAAAAGGGTTGTGTTAGCACAAATAGGAGACAGAAAACTGTTAAGCCTACTCACCCATCCGTCATTCACGTTTACACATTGTTTCAGTTCTCATCTAGACATTGAGTGAAAGCATTACATACACCTTTTTTTCTACACAGTAATTCAGAACTCATTAACCGAAAGAAAATATTCCCTCGGTCCTGAAATTATTATCCAGTTTGAATTTTTATTTTTAGTACAAAACAAACTTAAAGTAAAAATCTAAACTGAACAATAATATTGGGACATAAGGAGTAAGAAACTACAACTTAGTGTGGTTTTCCAGTAGCTTTCTTGTATGTGTACCAGTTTGCAATCCAGAGGTACACAAAAAAGTTGATCAAACTGAGTATAGCCAGTAGCCAATAGAAGTAATCAAGATGGCCTCTGTTCAGATTATCCGGAATCCAACCCAGCTTCCCGTTTTTCGTCGTGATTTTGGTCACAATCGTAACTAGCAGAGTACTCAAATAATTACCCAACGAAACCGTAGTCAAAGACAGCGCCGAGCACAAACTTCTCATGGCATCCGGTGCCTGATCGTAGAAGAATTCCAGCTGGCCGATGAAGGTGAAAACTTCAGCACAACCAATCAGGAAATACTGCGGGACTTGCCAGAAGATCGACATGTGAATCGTGGACTCGTCGTACAAGTTGTTCCGCTGGACATAATCCAGGCGAACGACTTCCAGGATTCCGGCAACAACCATGGAGAATATGGAGATCACGAGGCCAATTCCCATGCGCTGAAGCTGGGTGAAACCCCGCTCGTGGCCTGTGAACTTTCTGGCAAATGGGATGATGAGTTTGTCATAAACAGGAGCCCAGAAGATCACGCTGAGCGTGTCGAAGAGGGATAGCGAGGCTGATGGAATCTTGAAGTGTGGGCCTATGCTTTGGTTCATTGTGTTGCCTTGAAGGACGAACATGGTGCTCATCTGGCTGTAAACTGTGGAGAAAACAATGCCGGATGCCCAAATTGGGAGTATTCGGATAATGGATTTGAGTTCTTCGACTTGAGTCACTGTGCATAATCTCCATGGATCTACAGAACCCTTTACACTGTCAGATTCAGACGCCACTGCAGCCTTATCCAGGAACCTGATATTCATAATAATTCCCCCCAAAACAAAGTTACATTTTCATGTGAATTAGATACTCCCTCTGTCTCAAAATTATTGTCCAGTTTAAAGTTTTAATTTTAGTACAATTTAAACTAAAAACGAAAATTCAAACTGAACAATAATTTCTGGACGAATGGAGTAATATAAAATGGAGTTGGATGCGAAAAAGAAGCGTTGAATCTGTCCGGCTACCTGAATTTTTTGGTGTGTTCAAGTTTTCGACTCCCAACGATGTTACACTCCATATCAGCAGTTTCATGAAGTAAAGACTTATCATCAGGTACTTTCACATCAGATTTCCGAAACGAGGCAACCAAAACCTGCATAATCCTAGTCAGGGGACTCCCTCCGGGTTTCTGTAGCCTGTACAACTTGCTGCCGGAAAAGAAAGACACGACGGCGACCGCCATTGCAACAGCAGGGATCCCAAATCCCCATCCCCAGCCCACATTCATCTGTATCCACACCAAAACCGAGGCGGCGACCAACGCGCCGATATTGATGGAAAGATAAAAGTAGTTGAAGAATGAACTCTTTTTTTCCCTCTCTGTTTCGTCATTCTCGTCGAACTGATCGGCCCCGAATGATGACACGCAGGGCTTGATTCCGCCTGTTCCGAGGGCAATGATGTAGAGAGCCGCAAAGGTGACTGCTGTTTGTGTTGAAGTTGGATTACACACATTGTTAACGCAGCTTGGTTTTAGTCCGTGCACAGAAGCAGAGAGTGTCAGTAGTGTCATCCCCTGAAACCAGAAACAGAGTCAGAATGGCCTAACCATTTTCTTTTTAAAATAAAAAAAATTGGATGGCCCCGGGAGAATCGAATCCTCAAGCTCTTAGTAATAAACATTTTCTTCTTCTTCCCTGGTAACATTTCATTAATGACAGTCAACCACATCGAAAAATCGCTTTCTTGTCCCATAAAGAAGGCTTCAACCTATGGATTATCAGTCAGAAGATTTGTAGATACAGACTCATAGAAAACTTACAAGGACATAGATGATGGAAAAACCGGCAATAGTCCAGTATCTTCCTACATAGGAATCAGCAAGGAAAGCACCGATCAAGGGAGTGATGTAGCAGGTTCCAGCCCAGTTTGTAACGTTGTTTGCTGCAGTTGTTGATCCTTGATTCAGCTGTAAATGAAGATAATTCACCATATTTGTATTGATTCCGTAGTACGCCAACCTCTCACAGCATTCATTTCCTGTTAATCATCCACTATCAAGATCAGCTATTGAAATTGAACATAATTGATTGAAAGAAGATTCACAAGGTAAAAGAAAGAGCTTACCGAGGATGAAACGACAAGCTTTCCAATTTCCAGTCTTCTTCACTTCAGCTGGATTGTTATGTATATCAACTGTGCCATCCTTGGTGTAAATATCACCACCGTCTTCCATGGTTACAAGAATGGTTCACACCCTTCTGGTTTTCTTCCCCTTTTCCAGTTATTCTTCAAGAAACTATTCCGTCAGCCAAGATCTGTGCAGAGGGCTGAATATACAAAGAGGTTATTTACCGCTCAAACATGCATCTTTTGGATTGAGATTGTTGGCTTCGTGGCAAACAAAGACAGAAAAAAAACTCAACAACAGCTTAACTGAAACAAGGAGTTAAAAATGAAAACATGTGAAAGTAGTGTGGTGATAAGTAACTAGAGAAAATCGTCTGAACAGCAGCTGATCAGCGTTATTTAAGAACCCATCTTCATCTTTTTACCTCGGAAACTAAATCATCATTCAAGAACCATGTTAACTCAATTTATAAGGGTGTGAAATGGAAATGTAAACTAAGCAAGCATGACATAGGAATAATATTCAAACGTATTAAGGTTGACTCGAGATATTAATCATAAGCGGACGCCTACCACACTGAAATTAATCCTGTTGTTGAATCCTTTTGAGGAGGCAAGCTCAGCCAACAGGTACTAACTTTTAAGGTTGACTGGTAGTATTAACTAATGTGAATGATAATACTTGTTAGGAGAGCTGTGTTTCCTGAAAGGGACCTGCTCAGCTCGAATCCTGATTAGTCGGAGCAATGACTTTGGACACCTAACCCGTAATATACCCAAAAAAAACTTATGTGAATGATAATTGGTCTACTACTCTGGAGTTCCTTCTCTTGTTTGATTTTGGTTTGAACTTTGAACAAAAAAGACTTCAAAACATTGTTTTCACATCAGAGTAGCCTGTCATCCAATTCTGCTGTCACATTTTTTCAGCAGAAAGTGCCAAACATAGAGGAAAATCTGTGTACAATATTTAAGAGTTTCGCGAATCGGTGGATTTTGCTGCCGAAATAAAGGTCAAAATTTTCTTTTATTAGTTCCGTGGGGAGCTAGCTAGTCATCCAGTTATCCAATAAGATGATGAGTTGTGTAGTAGAGTGCCTTAAAAAGCATCCTGATGATACTTTCACGCATTAATAAACTGTATGAAATGAAATTATAAAAGAAATTATTATTAATTAGCAGTTTGTGCATATCTTTTGTGATGCAAAGCCGTCCTCCATTTGGGCGTCATCGTATCTTCTAAAGTCTTCATTGAACGGATGTCGAAATTTGAGATAGGACTTGGTAAACAAAAAGCTCCTCAAGATTCTATTTTTTGATCTGATGGTAAGGATAACCTTTGGTAAAATTTCATTTTATTATCACAAGAATTTGAATCGAAGTTATAAAGGTGAAAGATGGAAGTGAACTCTTGTTGACATTATAAGGAGGACAATGAAGAAATCATTTCCCCGTGATTTAACCTTAATTACCTACCTTTTGTGACAGTTGATCCTTGCTTTGGGAACAAGTACTACTCTATTAATTACAATTACCTTTATCACTTGTGTTATTCTATCTCTATAAGCTAAACAATTATCCAAAAAATTAGACAAAAATATTGTGTGCGGCTATACCATTATAAAATTGTGCAACTAAACACAATAATTAGGATAAAATTATAAGTTTTTTGGGAAAAGATGATAATTTTTACGGAAATTTTAGCAACAAAATAGAGAGATACTAATTGCTATAATTAAGGAGAAAAATTAAAGTTGGATTTTGTTTCTTTATTTTTGATTTTTTATAGGCCGTACTTTAAATATTTAGTTATAATTTTTTTTCTCAATTTTTAATTAAATCTCATATGAGTGCGTACTCCCTCCGTTCCAAAATAAGTGTCGTCCTACAGTTTGCACATAGTTTAAGAAACTCTTAAATAGGGTAATAAAATTACTTAAATATCCTCAACCAACCCATTTATAAAATTGTCCACCAATAGCATTAACTCTTTTGAGGGTAATTTTGGAAACTTTTGACAAAAAGTGCATTGAAATATGAGAACGACACTTATTTTGGAATTTCTCTATTTTGTTAAAACGACACTTATTTTGGAATGGAGGGAGTATTATTTAAAAACCAGTTCACCTGTATAATGACTCGTAATAATATAATGCTCCCAAGATCGCAAATAACATGGGTTTTAGCATGAGTTTGTGGACTATAGCATCCCACATTATTTGTATTTGTACTTTTCTCTATTCCTCCCATAATTTTGAAATTGTCAAATACATATGTTGTCTATTGATTTTTCATACTCATTCCACTTATTTCCCTACAAAGAGAAATTCTATTATGGTACTAGAAAGAATAAGCAGATACCAATTTGACTACCACAACACTATTAGTGGTCCAAAAAAAAAAGGAAAGTCACCTTACCACAATTGTAGGTCACATTCTTAACTTTTGCTAATTGGTATCCTCTCCCTACTAGAGCGACTAAAGTGATTAGAACAATCATTTGGGGACATCAAAACACAATAACAAAGATTTAAAGGGTAGTGTACCTAAAAAAACCTACATGGTAGCTTACAAAACAGATTCATATTTTACTTGGGTGAGCCCAAAAGTCGAATGTTTGCCTTTAACTCTCCAAACTATTTATAACAGGCCCATTAGAGAGTCCAAGATATGGTTTCAAGACGACGACAAGATAATATTACAGAACCAGACGAGAGGTGCAAACCAGTTCCTTGTTCGTATCTCTCTCTACTCCTTTTGAGCAAAAGATATCTAATCTGATAAAAGCTAAACTATGTTGTGCTTTAAAGCTATTCAATCTTCTTTCGTGCCAAACAACTCTGATTTGTTTCCCAGAAAAAAGTTTCCAACGAGAAAGAAACTGAACCTTGTTCATTGTAACTCCAATAGTTCAGATTCAGAAACTCAACCAGAAGGAGATAAGCAGAAGCAGGAATTGCTTGCCCAAATTGCTATGCTTCAAGCCGAAAAATTAAGGGCAATTGATTTCTTGGATGAAAGATCAGCATTCCTGACCCAGTTTGCCGAAGAAGCCAATGCTGAAATCGATCAAATAGGAGAAAATGCTCTGAGAGAACTTGATGAAGCTGGTTCCAGGGTATATTTCTTATCCAATTCCAACCCACTTCTTAAATTATCAGAGCATTCACTTTTGAGTTCTGACCCAGTTTTAATTGTTTGCTTGAGCAGATAATGGAAAACATAGAGAGCCAAATGCAAGCTTTTGAAGAATCTGCAGAGCTGAGCAAGCTAGAGATTGATGAGAACGAAAAGAAATTGGCTGATTTTGAAGGGATAATTGAAAAGGAAAGAAACGAAGGTCTGTTCTTCAAGAACTTGACCCAAAAACCAAAAGCACCATCATCTCAGGAAGCTGTGGCTACAGCTAAGGAGGAAATGGGGAAGATCAAAGAGCTTACTAAGGAAAGTGCTGGTTCTAAAACAAGAAGGAATATTTACCTTGCATTAATTGGACTCGTAGTTATTGGGATTTCTGATGCCTTGATTACTTCGTCTGACTTACGCAAAGTTGCAATCCTTGGAGCAATCTTGGTAGGCTTGATTACTCAACTCCTCTACGAGCAGGGAATGTTGTCAGGGATAGGAAAAACAGAACACAAAAATACAGATGTAGATAAAGAGTGAGTTCGATTTTATATTCTTCTATGTTACTGTAAATATTAGATTCCATGATTTGAAGGAAAACTAGATCTGAAATGTTGCATGAGTTATAACCCCAAATAAGGTCTTAATATTTGCGGCTAATACGTCAAGCTACTTCAATCTTGCATCAAGTATCGGACCTGGAGATGTTACTATGACCTCCAAGGCCTTTCTCTTTTGATGCATTCAACGAACTTTCTCTAAAAGAGAGAATAACACAAGCTAAGGCAGAAGAAATATAGTGGATAAATAAGAAAAATGAGAACTTTATTCCAATACCTTTGGTAAACATCTGGCAAGGGATCAACCACTCAAGTTAGACTTTGAATTAAGCTGTAAAAATGATGCTGTATCAGAAAAGAAAAACAAAACAAAACAAAGTGAATATAAATTACAAAAAAAAAAAAGGAAAGAAAAAACATCAATCTTTGGATTGAAGGCACAGTTAGTAAACTGCAGGAAGAAAGCCTATATAATGAAGTTATATGATAGTTTTACTGGAAATTTCACAATCAACACAAGCAGTTGGATTCCGGCAGCAGAAACTTGTCTAACTTCATGAGAGCTACGCCAATCAGAACTCAAATATTTCACTGCACATCATTGCTGCAAAACAATGGTGTTATTTTACAGTAAAACTACCAATTGAGAGTAAGACGTGATGCTAAGATAATAAAATCAAGAGATTTGGAACAAGAAAGCCAACCTTCCAAAGCATTTAGAAAGATAAGATCTTCCTGAAGTTCTATCAAGAACAACAGCTCTGACAAGTATATTCCACGTAATTACTGTAGGAGTGATATTCTTACTGAGAGCATCATCCAAGAATGAACTTGCAATTGTCATTCTATTGCAAGAACAGAGTCCTTTAAGGGTAATATTGTATGAAATAATATCCGGCTGAAGCTGAGCTCTCAAAATGCGAGCCCATATAACCAATGCATTTTTGCTGTCTCTGGCTTTGTAGAAACCCTCCATTAAAGTATTGTGAGTGACTAGGTTAGCCACGCAATTCCACCGACTCATGTTCAGATACAGTTCTGCAGAATTTTTAATTTTGCCAACAGCACAAAGCCCATGAATAAGAATATTGTGCATAGTAACATCAGGAGTCAAGCCATTGCTTATTACTTGGTTCCACAAGTTAAGAGCCGAATCGACATTATTTCCTTGGCAAAGCCCTTTAATTAGCGAGCTATATGTTACCATATCGGGCTTCCATCCTTTCTCTAGCATTTCCTTCACCAGCCCATAAGCTTCAGCAAACCATTCAGCTTTGCACAATCCATCAATTAAAGTGTTATAAGTGATGAGATTTGGGGAACAGTTCATACTCTCCATCTTCTTTAGCAGATGCAGAGCATCCTTCAGTCTAGAGGCTTGGATAAGTCCAGAAATAAGTGCATTGCACAACGGAGGATTTGGTTTAGAGCCACATTTAATTGACCTTTCCAGCATCTTAACTGCTTCGTCTAGTCGCCCTTCTCTACATAGCCCAGAAATCATTGCAGAATATGCAAATGCATCTAGAGTGCCAACTTTATCTTCTGCTTCTTGCAATACCAACAAAGCCTTGTTAAGGTATCCATTCTGACAAAACCCATGAATTAAAGTTGCGAAGGTGGTAGAATCAGCAGAAAATTCATTCTTCTCTTTCAGAAGCTTTGCCACTGAAGTTGCATCATCTACCATTCCATTCTCAAATAACAATCTCAGAAATATGTTGAAGCTAACAACATTACGACAACCCTTCCTACCCATTAACTCCCACAAAGAAAACACGCTCTTAATCTTCCCAACTCGACAATATCCATTAAGTAATGAATTGTACGTCACAACATCAGGAATCACCTTCTTCTCATTCATTTTTGCAAATACTCTCTCGGCCGCATCTACATTCCCAGACACACAAAGCCCATGAATTAATGAACTGCACGTAAAGAGGTCCATTTTCCGCTCATTATTCCTCATTCTATCCCAAAATTCTATAGCTTCAGCGAACTCCCCGCACTTGCACAAACCACTAATCATCGTATTGTAGCTAACTGTATTCGGATAAACAGTTGATCCACTTTCCAACCTCTCCCATATGTCATTAGCCCCCGCAGAATCACCTTTCTTGAAAAATCCATTGATCAGAATATTATAACAGGTAACATCTGGACTCAAACCCCTCTCAGACATTTCATCAAGCAGCTCCAATGCGGTTTTCATATCCCCAATTTTAGCCAGCCCATCCATCACGGTCCCGTAACCGTAGACATCAGGGGCTAAATCATATCCCCACATCCAATTCAACAGCTCTCTAGCTTTGTCAAATTGCCGCTTCTGACACGCCATTTTGATCAAAATATTGTAAGTTTCTAAATTCGGAGACACCCCCATACTCTTAAATGATCGGAAAAACAACTCCGCCTTACTCAGTTGGTTCAACACCACAAACGCATTAAGCAAAGTATTGAATGACCTAATCCGGGGACCGCACCGGAAAATCTCCCCCATTTTTTGAAAAATTTCCACCGCTTTGTCCACCAACGAATTCCTCGCATACGCCTTGATCACGGACAGCGCGACGTCCTCCGAACAAGGGCATTTCTGAATTCGAATCATCTCCACGATTCCTGAAACCCGAGGCAGGAGTCCCGCATTGGGTTTAGAAAGGGAGAGGCGGCGGAGGATGTGGTGGTAGACGGCGGCGTCGTGGGCATAACCGGGGCATTGACTCGCCAAGTCGAACAGGGATAGAGCCGAGTTGAGATTCTTTTCGGACTTGAGGAGCTTTAACAGACATTTGGAGGTGAGGTTCTTGGGCAGCTGAGCAGCCATGAAGATGAACAAGCTGGAAGGCAATATTGGTTGTCATTGTAGCATTTTTTTTTTTTTAGAATTTAACAAACAAAGAATAATGCTATTGGAAAATTGCCAATCGAAGAACCCTATGCGAAAAGGGGTTAAAAATTTCAGCCCCTGATGAATAGAAATCAGGGGTTCCTTAAAATTCCGGCGTAAAACAGAGGAGACTTTGGAGCTTAATTAGCCCTTCGAGTGAAGTCTGCGGAGTCTTGTGCATATTTTCAGCCAAGGTTTTTCTTAAAAAAATTTAATAAAATTCCTCCTTTTTTTTTGTTGAGAAATATTTATTGCTAAAAAAATCTGTGCAAATCCTTCTTATGGATGGAAGAAGTGTTTGTTCCGATATCAAATTAGGTTATGCTAATCGGAATTAGTTATTGATCTGGATTTGGATTTTAAACAATCCTTGTAATTATTGGGATAATCAGCAATTAAATTCACTAAGGCCATAATTGTAATTGTCATGCGCCTAAAGGCTCTCTAGTCTCCCTACTAAGGTTTCTAAACCCTTATAAATACCAAGTGATGATCAGAACATTATTGAGAAACCTTAGGAGGCTGTAGCAACTCTCCCGCTTCGTCGATCCGAACGATTTAAACTCAGTTCCTTCATCGGTGAAGGTATAAGTGAAATCTAAATTTTATTGATTGTACTTTTGAGTTAATCTGCGTTCATTAATCGATGAAAGATATACTCCCTCCGTCTCATAATTATTATCAATTTTCATTTCTAATTTAAATTATATTAAAAGTAAAATCTCAAACTGGACAATAATAAAAATTTTGGAATAGAGGGAGTATTCAATATGCTTTGTTTTAATAAATTCCATTTTTCTAGATTTGGTTTGTTGAAATTTTTTTTCTTTTTGTTGCAATTTTTTCACATTGTAAGTGAAAGTCTTTTTCTTTATGATTCACTAGATTTGGGGCAAGAAATCATGTATTTGATTTACTAATAAGTTACAACTATGCACAAAGACTAGAACTAAAGATTTATTCTTTGTATGTAGATTCAAAATTTGATTTCGAATATGTTTTAGATGGAAGTCTGAGGTGTTGTATAGATAGTATTTAAAAATAAGACAGTAATCTTTTCACTACTATTGGAGATCATACGCTGCTACCAGCCCCGATCACCAGCCGATATAGTTTGGTAACGGAAGTGGCAGAGTACCAATCCGGTGGTAGTGGACAAAAATTGTATAAAATAAATTTTCAATAAATTTCTAAGCATGAGTAGAAATTTATTTTTTTCCACTACCATAGAAAACTGTATATTGCGGACCGCCAACAACTTTCGGCGGATAGATTTAGTCAACTTTGACCACTGTCTTAATTATTATCTTCCTTTTTATGGAAGTTTAAATGTCGCCAAGGAACCGCTATTTACCAAGAGTTGATTTCCGATTTTATCCTTATATTTTAAATTTCAAATTCAAATTTTAAAACTCCAAACTTTAATCCTATACTCCAATCTTCAACCTCAAATACTAAACTCCAATCTTCAAGCTTCCTAGACTTCAAATCGATGGCCAGAAAAAATCTCCGTCGCCGGAAATCAAATTACAGACTTTACTACATCTTTTGATAGATAAAAATCTCAATGTTTCACTTTAATAATCGATATTGTTGTACTATGTTAATTTTACAAAGAAAATTATTTTTCAAAATGAATGAAGTAATTTTTATGTTTAATACACATTTGATGATATACAATTTTCCTCCTAGTTTTCACATGCTTTGTGGTAAAATAGCTATTTACTTGAATCTGATTTTTTTTTTTTGAATCTGAAAACCGGTAGGCCGGCAGCGGTGACATCCGAGAAGCAGCCGGCCGACCGGTCTGATGTCCCAGAAAAAAAAGGACGGCATGGCCGCCATCTGCCTTTAAACAAGACGGCACGGTTGCCGTCTTGTTATGCCGGCGGCCAGGCCTTTTTATTTTTTTTTTTGAATAATTTTTATTTTAATTATTTATTATTCTTTAATTAATTTTTTTTTCCTAAATCTAAAGACTGGTCGGCCGGCAACGGTGACGTCCGAGAAGTAGCCGACCAACTGTTCTGACGTCCCAGAAAGAAAAGAACGACATGGCCGCCGTCAACCTTTAAACAAGACAACACGGTAGCTGTCGGCCAAGCCTTTTTCTCTTTTTTTTGAACAATTTTATTTTAATTATTTATTGTTCTTTAATTAATTTTTTTTTCCTAAATCTGAAACCCGGTCGGCCGGCAGCGATGACGTCCGAGAAGTGGCCAGCCAATCGGCCTGACGTCCCAGAAAGAAAAGGACGGCATGACCGCCGTCCTCCTTTAAACAAGACGGCACGGTCGCCGTCTTGTTATTACCTGGCCGACAGCACAGCCGGCCATGCCTTTTTCTTTTTTGAATAATTTTTATTTTAATTATTTATTGTTATTTAGTTTTTGTTTCTTTCAATTCAGTAATTATTTTATTTAGTTTATTTTTTTTTAATTTATTACGAAATATAGTTAGTTAATAAATAAGGTAGTATGTTTTATAATTGTTTAGTAAAATTAGTGAAATAGCAATTAAAATATTGAAAAAAAAATTTAACTAATATGATAAAGAAAAGATTATGGTTGGAGTGCGACAGGACACCGTGGAGAAAAGATATGATAAAGATTATCTGTGCAAATTTGATCCAAAATCTATATTTGGAAAATATTCATATGCACAGAAGGTTGCACAACTTAAAGAACTAGCTTTGGACCCTTGTAATTCAAAATTTTCAAATGCCAAAATTCAGCCATTGTGGAACCAAACTCTGTGGATGCGAAAGGCTATGTCTACGGTTAGTATTGATACTACTCAGGTATGTTATATTTTATGTTTTTTTTTTTAAATAATAACTGTATTGTATTAAAATGTTTTTCTTGTTTACCGAACCGCACTTCTTGTACTATGCAATCCAAAGGTTGATTGGTAACACCTTTGCAAAGAGAAAAAACTGAAAGATAATCACATAGTAAATTTATTTAACCCTAAAGAAAAGTATTAACAATGAGAGTTCATTTCTTGAGGATATGATTTACTTACCATCAAGCACGAAAATATACATAAAAATAACACCATGATAATTACATAGATATTTATAGTCCATCTCTCATTCTGGAAAAAGGTTTCAAATTATATATGATTTCACATAGGATACAACGACTTAGTTAGGTATCTTTATAAGTTACAATTCATAATAATGAAAAAATTATATTGAGTGAATTTATCTTTTTTTCTTTTATAGAGAAAGCGAAAGTTGCAGCAGCTATTGAAAGAAATACCTGGATCCAGTTCACGGATCTCACATGCTTCTTTTGCTTCATGCTTGTTAAACTCAATAGGATCAGCTACAAATTTTGGTAAAACACTTGATTTCGACTTAAGTAGTTCGAACAATGCAGTGACTTTTGAAGAAAATATTCCAGATAAACTTGTATATTCACGACATCTGTCTAGGAATCACAAGGATGTTATTTACTTGGTTGATGGTGAGGAGTCTCTGTACCGTTCAAACAATGAGAGGCTAGGAAAAACGACTTCAAAGCAGGATGTGCCTTCAATTAATGTACTTGGCATTAGTCATCCATATGACTCTCAGGTTGATGACTCTTCTAAAAAGAAACATCTTCAGCTTCGTCGTCAGTCCAATAGGTTATCACGTTTTCTTGGTGATGATCCTCAGAGAAAAGTCATCCCAATTGGTGATCGCTTCCAGGCAGATATTCCCGAGTGTACAGGCCCAAAAAATGGTTGTGATGATCAAAGTTCAAAGTGGTTGGGTACCCAAATTTGGCCAATGGAAGGGCGGAAGGGAAATTCCGCAAGAACTATTGGCCAAGGAAAAACAGAATCATGCTCGTGTTTTTCCCGTGGATCCGTTGACTGTGTTCAAGTCACATTGTTGAGGAAAGACTACAGTTATTATGTGACCTTGGTGCTGCTTTTTTTCGTATGAAACTAGATGATACGGGAGAACAGGTTTCAAAGTTATGGACTCCAGATGAACAACAAAGGTATGAGTTACTGGCTAACAAGAACAAACCATCCATTGGGATTCTTCTTTTGAAACACGCTATGAAATGCTTCCCCGATAAAAACAAGAAAGCCATAATAAGTTATTACTTCAACGTGTTCATCCCTCGGCACATCGGGCAGCAAACAAGGTTATCAAAGCAAGTCGACACTGGTGATGGGGAAGAAGACAACTTTAATTACTCGGATTCACGCCAAAAATCTACAGGGAAAATATTAGGTATGCGTAGGATTTTGCCTCCAAACGAAAAGAATTATTTCCAAGTAAACGCATAGAATCATGAACAAAAGTGTTTAAGGAAAAAAGGATATTGAGGCTTGATCACGATGAAGATGATAATTTGTTTTTTTTTTCCCTTGCAACTGTGATTTGACGACGATGATCATAATTTGTTTCTTTGTGCAACTCTGATTCTGATAGAGACAAAAACTTGCTTTGCACAATCCAATACTTGCTGCTCTAATAAAGCAGTGTGTAATCTTAGAGGCTCATTCCAAAGAGGGGTCTTTTGGAGGGTGAATCTTGCTCCATACACGGCTGAGGCGGCAATTGTTGATGGATTGCTTCTCTCGAAGCCATCAAAGAAAACTTTAACATGAATCAAATTCTCCTAAAAAATTACTCAAATCAAAGGAGTAGAACCTCTTTTTATATATTTTATGAAAAAATAAGAGTAACTATGTCATTACAAAATTAATTATTTTTGACAAATAACTATTCTCCTTAATAAAAAAATATTTTAAAATCATATTTTTTTATTAATTTGAGTTGTTCTGCTGGCCTTTAGACAAATTTTCCCAATTTCTTTATCAAATTTTGAGAGAGGTGATACTGTGATTGACTACAAAAATTATACACCCATGACCTACCCATAGCTTGCAAATTCATGCAGATGTTATAGCCTTTGTGATGAACTTAATCAACATAGTCAAATTTTGCACCGCTTTTCCGATTATAACTTGCGGCAGGTCACTTAGACTTATGACAAGGAATGAACCATTTTACAAATAATTACTACTCTGTTCTTGAAAGTTGACAAATCCTTAGCAAGCAAGGTTCTCTTCCTACATGCTTATGGAGATAATTTTTCATGAAAGCATTCAGATTAACTTAACAAATGAAGCCTCCTGGGAGGATATATTCTTCGGTCCTAATTATAAGGTATTTTAATTTCTCATAAGTTTCATTTATTATTTTTTTCATTAAAAATAAAATCTTAATAATACATTTTCACATTTATTGTGTTCTAATTTTTAACTTTATGTAATTTAAAATGTTGTCTAACGAATCTGCATTACTAGCTACTTACCAACTTGCTCGCCTGCTTGTCCAATTTATATCAAATGCTTTTATTATTCAAATCCTGCTTCTAACGCGTCGTAATACTGAATTCTAAATCATTCTTTACTTACTTCACACCATCACACGTTATTGTGTCAGTTTCACATTTATTTTTTCTCCGTTAAAAAGGCTTTTTCAGTGTAAAAGTTGTTTTGACACATGATTTTTTAACGAGCCAGATAAATATAATGAAAAAAAGAGCAAAAAATAGGAACATTAGAGTAATAATACTAATCCAAATTTGCGCTCTCTCACTCTTCAATTTTAGCACAGGATAACAATTAATCCCCATTATCCTCTCTTTCAATTCACAAGAGTCAGCAAATGAAATCTCCCAGTCTCAAAGAATTCAATGATATCAAAAGCACTCACTAAAGCAGTAACCGAAATTTAAAAGATCCCTTCATATCAGCCACTTCAAAAAAAAATTCTATTTTTTTTTTCCCGATCTGACCACAGCGCCTTAAGTTTCCTCCGGCCGCTTCGCTGGACAATATATTTAGCAGTAACGGGCAGGAGAGAAAAAGAGGCAACACCCGATTCAATTAGATCTGAACAATGGCGACCGAATCGTAAAAAATCTTCTGACCATACTTGATGAAGAAAGCCGCCATCAAAAACCAATCTAATTACAAGATAGATCCCAAGCCCATTGTGGCGTTTTGAACAACAAACTAGAACACCCGAACAGACACTTCAGTGCTGGGATTTGAAGACAGCAAAGTATTTCTGACTACGAAGACATCAACAGCTTTTTTTGTTTGACAGTATATGAATAGATACATGGCCGATGGATAATGAACTTTGAGACGGCTAACAATAGCGGGTGAGAAAAATATTTTACTTTTGGTGTACCTTTAACCGTTTGAATTTGACGGGTTACTTACGCTAACATAACAATTAGAAGCGGTTGTGTTTCTGCATTTTTTTTTTTTTTTTTGGGTTAAATTTAGTGTTTAGGTGATGGTTTTGTTTTCCTTTAGACGTGCTTGATTTTGTGTTTGATGAGAATAAGTTAGTGTTTTCTTCTTCACTGATAATAGAAGCTACTAATTCCAGTGGCAAAAGGAAATATGACATTCATAAAATCGGTGGATGCTGCAATAGGGAATAAGAAGTATTCTGTTGAATAATTTCGTAGTCTTGTAACACAAGTTTCGATTCTTTCAGCTAGATATTCTTACATTTTGGTTCTTTTTTCTTTTCTTTTTTTTGTTTGAGTGTTTTTGTCTTAAAAATTGGAATGGACAAATTGGTTATCCATGAATTGTAATTTTAATATTGTGGCGTTTTAAAAATTCGTTAATTTCTGAAACAACTACATCTTGGTTTGTTAAGTATTGATATTATTCCTGAACTGCATCCTAATCATGTAGAAGTTTGTTAGCAACTGCATGTAGAAATTTGTTAGCAACTGCATCTAAACTTCTACCAATGCATCTTGATTCATTCGTCAATAAATTAAAGAGAAGGGCAATGAAAATTAAGTAATGTATTTTCTATTGCACTCATTATAATAGTTGTGCTTTTACTTTATGCATGAGAAACTACAAATATGAAGCAGGATTGATTCTACTCAATCTAAAGAGCTGTTACGATGTTTCAATGTTCAAGATATGTGAATGAGTTAGATTCCTTACTGCTGGAAGTTGAAATCGTTAAAGCATGTTCTGATTGTGTTACCTAAAAACTTTTGCATCTTTTTTCTTTTCCTGGTCGCAGGAAGGTTTTGTCAAGCTAAAACCAAAAGTTCAACTTTGAAAGAAAGGTAAGCATTAGTATTCATATTCTTAGTTGATTTTTCTTCCCATCATTTGTTTGATAAACTTAGATACATCATTTTCTTTCATAATTTCAATTGTAGATTTATCAATAAGTATGCTTTCTAGAGTTAATAGCAATATGAATTCAATTTCTCCATATAGTAATTGAGATTATGCAGAATTGATGTTTTTGGTGATTAGGAGTTGGTTACTTTCCGACAAATGTTCTTAAATTTATGGTTCTAGGTGTTCTTTTTTTCATTTGTTTGTTTTGATCTTCACTTAATATATGAATGGAGAAATGGGTACTACAAGTTAGTACTTGAAGTACACTGATCTTATTTGAGCTTTTCTTTATTAATCTATTAAATGGTCAAAAATGTATTTAGCAAATACACTTATCACATTTGAGTTTTTAAGGGGGCATTTATTAAATTTCAAGAGCGCGCTTAACATTTTTACCTTTCTTTTTCAATTTATATGATGTATTCCTTCCTATGTCATGGTCTATCAAGTTGATTATTTTTTACTGATATATAAGGCTTAGCTCAGGCAATCTGCTGACACTTAGTTAAAGTGATTAAGGCTTCGATATTTGTTAGCCATTCAATTTCATCAACTGACTGCATTAGCATTAGAAAATCCCAATGATGAGCATCTTTTTTGTAAAAATGGTAGCGTAGCTAATCATCAGGTCATTGCACACAATGATCCAGCAAGACGCAAATGGACAACACTAAAACACATTACCAAGGTTGTTTTCTTTCCAGAGACTTTTTGGCACAAATTCAGACCCTGTTAATTTCGGGATGGCCCTATTTTGAAAATTGAAATTTAGATTGTCCTATGACATCCACTTTAGTGTTTGAAATTTGAATTGATGGATGCTTTAGCCATAGATATTTCTTTGAGATTGCCTGTTTGTGTGCTTAATGATTGAAGCAGATCCACATTTGTTTTCCCATGTATATAAATAGTCTTTTCCCTACTACTCTGCTGATTTTATTTGGTACAACTAGATGTTCAGATAATATTTGTTACGATTGGATAAGTTTTTTTTTCATATTTGCAGGGTGTTCACCGTTGACAATAGTGACTAATCCCCTTCGCTGAATTGTAGGCACCTCAATTGGTGGAACAACTGGCCAAAGTATTTAAGGTTGCTCCATGCCCATGGCGAGGTTCGAACCATCAACCTATGGTTAAGGGTAGAGGAGTCCCTTCCAATCCACCACAATCACTTTGGTTACGATTGGATAAGTTTATATTCTTAATGCAAGGATTAGTATATATAGTCATTGAATTACAAATCAGTAATTGCTTTTTATTTCTCATAGATTTCCGGTTGATATTGTTTCCGCGCCAGAAATAGATAAAATTATCTCGGAACACCCACAAAGATTGTTATTGTGGATCATGAGGAGGAAGTCAACGTTTGTCCTTCGCAAAGATGAACTCCTGGTGCTGTAGTGTGGAACCATTAGGAGAAAAATAGAAGGGAGTGGCTGATTTTGGGGATGAAGAATGAAAGCCCATGTTGTGTCCAGGTGGCTGTTGTTAAAAATTTTATGACTCTAGTAAGTGGAGAGAAAGACAACAACTTCTTGTTCCTTCGAACAATTATAGTGTCCAACTTGATACTCGGAGCTTTTTTCAATCACCATGTGATTGATTTTAATGAAGCATAGATCTGCACGGTGCCTTAATACGGGCAGCGATGATGATCTCAGCGGCAGTGGATGACTAAAACCTACAAGACAGAACCTCGGGTGTCTCCCGATGGTAAACTCTCCGATGCTTAAGTCAATAAGGGAATAA